GGTATAAAAATGAAGACGGTGGGAGTGCTGAATGCTACCACGTTTTTTAAAGTACTTTGAACAGGAAGCAGGATAAAGCTTGGCGTAAATCTTCTTGACCCGGTAAAACACTACAGAAACTATTTCTTGCATAACCGTGATCAAACAGGGGCTCTTTTTTAACTGTTTGTATGACGACAAGAGGCAGGCTTTGGGTGAGAGATGCCTGCAGAAATATCAGTGTCAAACCTAGCGAGGAGCTGCTCTGACAGTCCCGGACCGGTGCAGGGCGCAACCAGACGGTGCTTGGCAGCAGCCTGTGGAGCCACAGCTTGGTGGGACTGAGCTATCCATTAAAAGCTACTGAGCTGAATCGAGGTTCAGGTTTGTTTCCAGCAGCAGCTCTTAAGCTTGGAGAGCTTTATCAGGGACTCGAGCAAAATGCTGGATGTGTTTTGTTTTTCTTCATAAATTCAGAACTGCATGCTTGTTTGACTTGGACCATTTCTATGTGCTTGGATTCTCAAAAAAAAAAAAGGTTCGAGCTGCTAAATGAACACATTTGCCTTTCATATAGGTTGCGAAATTGGAGTGCTGTAAAAGCGGAGAAATTGGCGTAAAACTCTGGCACAAAAATTGTCTTATAATGCAAAATCCTTAATTCAGGATCCTTAAATGAGAAATACCCATTACTTTTTTTTTTTAAACAGTGTTACTGATTTCCTCCCTCCCCCCAGGAGTAATACATTAATTTTTTAATACTTTGCATCCCTGTGTTTTTGATACATACAATTCTATCTGCATGAGTCCTTCTGTCCTTTTAAATGTCTCTTAACTGTACTTTGAAAATGTTAGTGGAAAAGTAATAAGTTAATTAAGGACTTAAATAAGAAATATGCCACATTAAGGTCCACGTTACTTATATTGACAGGTATCAGGAGTTGAAATGACATAGGAAAGTCTTCAAAGCGCTGACTGCAAAATGAGCTCCTTCCACTTGATGCTGAAAGGAGGTACTGTTTTCAATTGATTTGAATACTGATGAATCTCTCCTTTCAAGGTGGTTTGGATGCTCTCATTGCTTCCAGTTTGAGTGAGGTGGAAGTGGGTGGATAGGTAGCTCTTCACTGTACTGCAATTAGCCGGTGGTGGCAAGTTATGTAGAGCTACAGATACCATTTTTTTTTTCTTTTTTTTTTTCCCTTTGGTGAAAGTTGAGGCAATACCTGTAACAAACACTTTGTTCAGATTCAGAGCCGTTAATACTTTGTCTCAAAGTTGAACTGGAATTTAGCTTATAAAGATTTAACTGTTGCAGGCTTCTCTGAATATTCTTTGACTTCTGTGACTTCATTTTGATGTAGCTTCAACAGAATGTCTTGGATAATGGGTTTTCCTTAAAGGTGTAACTTTTCTCTAGTCCTGCAACTTGCAGGATTGTCTGGAAAGGAAGCATTTAAGGACTAAAGTTTGTGGTCATCACTTCAGTGTCAGAATACCACAGTGGATAACCAGATCCACTCCTAGAGGGTGCTTGTGCATCGGTTTGTGTGACATACTTGTTCATACTTGCCCCTGTAAAATGATCAGCTGCATTTTGTTTATATATTGAGCATGTTAGACAAGAAAGTTGGGACCTCAGGAAAGTGGGAGACTGGGAACAAGGTATAGTTTGTTAGAAATTTTATCTTGCTTTGCTGTTGTGGTTTAACCCCGGTAGGCAGCTTAACAGCTTACTTCTGTTGAGAGGAGTAAGCACAACAAGGAACAAGGTGTGAGCTCTATGAATTGTTGTGGTGGGCTGAATCTTGTCTTGGTGGTTGTACTTTGGAGCAAGTGGCCATACATGGGTTTGGTTCTCCACACCCTTCCCCCCCATTTTAATTAAACTGTGTTGAAGTTTTACTTAAAAGGTTAATGCGGTTCTTTCATATAGGTGTGCCACTAAGTTGGGGCACTTTACACCTCTGTGCTATTACGTTGTTTGCAGAGATGATAATGAGTTGCCTTTGAACCACAACTTCTGTGTTCTTCTATATGGCTCAAAGGCTAAGGATCTGTTGGTCGCCCTTGCTGTAATGAGTCCCCATAGACAGTGATCAATATTGAAAGCCACTTAAATTACAGTGACGTGCTGATACGCAGTTGGGGGGCTTAGATACTTTCTATGCTACTGTCTTGAGCATTTTTTCATTGTATTGGCCTTTGCAAGGATGTCATGTCCATGTATTTATAAATTATTTACAAGTAAAATCTTTTAAAAATTGGAGACAGAAAACTTAGAAAACAAAGATGCAGTTATGTGTTTTGCACAGCTTCCTGACGGACAGTTTTGCTAATTCTGCTGCATGCTGACTTAGGGACCCAATATGTCTCTAAACGTGTTCTTACGACATTTAAAGTTGATAGTGTGCCGAAGGCAAGTAAAAGGGCAAGTTCTGTGATGATAGACATCCTGCAAAGAACAAAATGTCGGTATCTTAAGTTAGGTCCACATGTTTTCTATTTCTGTTTTCAAGATGATGATTTTAGAAATTTGAAGGAGCAGTAGTAAGCTGTATTTTAACTATGGGAAGATAAATATTAGGAAAGTAACTTGGAAATCAAACCTTTTCTTTTTTAGTAGCTCGAACCACAAGCATGATTGGTTGGTGGTGTGGGGTTTTGTTTGTTTGTTGATGGGGTTTTTTCTCCTTATTTCTTAAAAGACTTGATGTACATTTTTCCTTTGAGCCCAGCAAGCTTTGAGCTGAAACAGTTTTCCAAACGAAGTATGTAGGCAGTGTCATCAGTGAAATTTCCGTTCTCTCTACATAAGTGAGATTTTTGAGCTGTGGTTTTATCATGGGGCATTTCATATTGCTGAGACTGGGATAGAAGGCACTACAAGGCTACAGTTGTTAGGTAATGTGAACAAACATCTGCTTTTTAAATGAAGTTTGCTGTTTCGCATTTGTGGATTTTGGGTAGTGTTTCTCTGTATATTCTGCTCAAGAAAAAGTGTAAAAACCTTGTGTGATCACTTGAAACCGTGCTGACCAGAATAGAAATGCTCCGTATACTGTGAGGTATTACAACTATAAAAGCTAGAGGCATCTTCCCTTCTTTCTAGAGTTTTTAAGCTTTACCGCTGCAATATTTGAAGGGGGTGTGTGTGTGAATTTTGAAAGAATAGAACATTAAAAAGGTTGAGCTTTAGCATACAGTATTAGAAAGATACCCAGCCTTGGTACTGGAGGCCAGTAATGGGTGCAAAATGTAAAGCTTAACCTGTTGGATTGCTTAGTTATTCTTATCTTGCCCTAAATTTAAGTATTGTTTGTTTCCTTTAGTGGTTAAATCTGTCTTACAAAGTGGCTGCTTATGTCTGGTTTTGTTGTTTGCTTGACACCTGTGTAATGTTACCTTGTTTTTGACAGAAACTTCATTTTCCAAAGGTCTTTGCTAGAATTCTTGGTCAATCTTTACTGCAAGTTTTGTTGTTGCTCTTTTGTTTTAAGTCATCTCTAGTGTAGGCAGAGGGATGCTCTTGCTTTTGCATTTAGGATGTCTGTAGAAAATTCGGTTTTGTATGTGTATGCTGCTGTCCAAATGATGTGTTTTCTAAAATCCTTTTTTCCCCTTCTCCACTCCCCTTCTCCCCTCTTTACAGGTAAACTGAAACTCCAAGAATGATTATCAGCTCATTGGCAAGTTACAGGAAAACCACATACAAGGCAACTAAATAAAGACCATGGTATGAGTGCTTTGTCAGATAAACTGTCCAAAAGAAGTACGTACTTGGAGGCTATTATATTAAAGTGTTGAACTCTGCTCAGTGTGTCCCTCCCTACTACCCCAACACTTCTGCATATGAAATGTTTCAAAAGAAGGAGCTGGTGTAGCTTATTTGTCACTAACGTGAACTACATTGGATGTAAAAGTAAGTCAAGGCCATGTGTGTTTTTCAGGGAATACCATCTCTTCTTCCAGCCATTTCTAGCTGGGTAGAAGGCAAATATTAACTAGGATCTGTGCAATGAACATTTTGCAATGGACTGCTACGTGGGAAACCAGGTTGTTTTAGAGTGAGGGGGAGCAGCCTGCAAAATAGTCAGGAACTGAAAAAAGTCAAGAGAGCTAAATGCAGACCTTAACCTACAAGGAGCTGTCAGAAGGGAAAGGGATTAAGTGTTTGCCAGCTGGCTGACAGTAGAAGGCTTGGGAAGGGCTCTGATGACATCTTGCCGAGAAAAAGCAGGCGCATCTGAGGGAGGAGCAGGACTTAGTTAAGATTTAGAGGTTTCGCGGAAGCCACTTGTGGGCCATGAGGGCAGCGGGTGTCTGTTCAGTCATGCCTTTGTTGGAGAAAGCTGCAAAGAAGACCTGAGGTGTGAAGTGAAACTACAATTCTTGAACACTTTGTTTTGTGTCTGACCACAACAATTCATATTAGCTGCGGTTTCCACACACGTTTGACTTTAGATGCCAATTTAAGTGCCAGATCACACTGGACTTACAGTGTGCTTGTCCTCCTGCAAAGAACTACAAGTTCATCTGCTCTTAAAAGCAGTGCGGCCTCAACTGTACAAGAACAGTTCAAAGAACGAAACCTCATACATCTCTGTGATTGTGTCTCGTAAACATGTGGAAAAAGGAGTAGCTGAATCAAGCTTGGTTTCTAAATAATACAGTATAGCTTAAATCACTGTATGCTAGCATAACTTGTCTGTGCTAGAGGGTTGTGTTGTTTTTTTCTTTTTGGCTTAACTATGCTGGCAAAAGAAAATTACACTTTATGCAAGAGTTATTCCAGTAGAAATTTGGAAAAATTCCAGTAAAAAGCTGAAAACTGAGCAGCCTTCTGTGGAGGCTAACAGTTGCTGTAGTTGAAATCTTCAAAGGCTGGGGCTAAATTACCAAAGCCAGTTTTTCCCTCCCCAAGATGACTAATGCTTCGCCTGATTTTTTTTTTTTTTTTTTTTTTTAGGAGTAATGCAGAGTGCAGAGGACAGTGCAGCTTGAACACTCTTACCACACTAATGGAGAAAAATTCTTCTTTGCAGCAAAAGATGACATCTACATTTTTGCTCATTGGTCGTCTCATTCTACTGATACCTCTGATACCTCTGTTCAGTGCTGGTAAGTTAAATAAGTTGTTGAAATTACCATTTTAAAAAAGAAAACCCACAAGAGACGAGTTGTGTGTATTTAGTAGAAAAGAGTTACTGAGAGCAAATAGTGGATTTGTGGTTTGTTTTTGCTTCAGCATATTGAAGATAAGGTGAATGCCTCTTTTTGGATTGAAGTTGCACTGAGGGTGGAATGGACTAATTGACATAAATATTTTTAAATCTAGCCACATAAATTTAGGGTACTGAGGCTTTGATTAGCCTCTCCCTGATTCCTATGAAGAAAGTCCAAAGAGATTGACTTAGTTAGCTGTTGAATGCCTTCTTTAAGAGACATGCTGTAGCTGTAGTCCTGAAAGCAGTAGGGCTCAATTTCCTTTACAATTAATTAGTAATATTTTTAATGGTAGATCTAATTTTTCAGTAAAGTTTAGGACTACATAAATCAGTCATGCTTGTCTTGCTGCTCTTGGCATAAGCAGTCTAATATTAATGTCTCTGAACTAGTTTAAGCTCCATAGCTTACATCTTTAAATTAGGTGATAGGAAGGTGGTGGGACTGAAAAGATTACTGAAGACTTTTTTTATTTTGAAATTGAATACATTACTTTTGTATTTATACAGTCATTCAGCAAGATTTGTAAAATCAGTTCAGTCACACGTTTTGCAGTTTCATAGGAATTCAGTGTTGCACATGTATGCAAAAGTTTGGAAGCTTTTAAAATCTGCTTTATAGCCAAATGGCCTGCTCTGTTTGTGCTAAACTGGTATTCTCCAAGTAGTTTTTGCTTGCAGATTTGGGTTCTTGATGACTTCTTGCAGTATCTGTCCTTCTTTCTCTGGTATTTTTCTGGCTCATGTTTAAAAAACTGCTTGCTAGGCTGTATGATTGTGTCTTGTCAGCTTGTTACACAGCCGTAATTATAAAAATTCTGTTTATGCTTGCCTTTTACGTGATGTTCAGAATAATGTCTTTGGAAATATTGAGATCTTTAAGCTAAATCCAGATAAAGTCACTGTAGTACACGTTTGGCTTATGCATGACATTGGTGGACCTCAAAGTGAATGCTGCTCAGGTCATTCCATAAAGAGGTTAAAAAGCATTTTAGAAGAGCGAAACTTTAAGACCACCCATGAAGACAATTACAGGCCAGTTCAGCTCCTTCAGTGTGTGCATAACCCTGACCACACATACTGCAGACTTTGCACCAACACCACGGCAACTCCGTGGAGTCCTCCGCACTACTGAAGACTTCCGTTATTTGTGTGTAAAGCTGGAAAAGATGTGGCTACATAGCTTAGAGTGATAAATAATGATGATGCAGAATAATTTAAAGGGCCTTCTGGATAAAGATGACAGAAATGGCAAATGTAGTAAGAAAAGAATACATTATAGTCAAGACTTCTTGATTTAAATACTGTGCCTCTCCAAATTTCCTTTATGTTATGACGTGTTGGTTCACAGACTTCTTTGATGTATTGAGGTCTTGATCTCGTTCCATACTGTCTTGTGCTCAGGTCAAAAAACATCTTTCTTCCCCACCCTCCCCCCCGCTTTTTTTTTTTTCCCCTAATTTGTTTTTGGCCCTACAGTCATAATGGCCAGACTGCTGTGAGGAGCTTTGCAGTAGTACTGTTTGCACCATGCTTTTCGTAGATAGTATCTACATTAAGAATCTGGTAATTCTGCAAAAGTGCTAACATGCTCAAATAACAAGGACATGACAGGTGAGTTGTGAAGCTTGTATTGCCTGGTGAATCCTGTGTGTCTTCTTACATCGTGGTTCGCACTGAGGCTATTGGACTTATATGTGCTTGTTGCTGACTACCTTAATAGAGGGAAGTTGTGGCTTAAGCTTTGTAAAATGCGTGGTTTAGATCCTCAACCAGAAGGTGCTAAACAAACAAAAAATGGTAGCCTTATGATGGTTTAATGGTAAATTGCTACAGAAAGTTTATTTTCTAATTCTCTGTAACTTGGAATGGATATTAATGCTTCTAGAACATAAAAGTATACAGATTAAAAGCATTGATAACTTTTTCTTTTTTTTTTTTTTAATAGAAGAATGCGTTATTTGTGATTACTTTGTGCTTGTTGGAGAGCCTACAGCTATTAGTTGCCCAATAATTACATTGCCAGTGCTTCACTCTGATTACAATCTGACATGGTATAAAAATGGTAGTGTTACACCAGTAACCACAGAGAGAGATGCCAGGATCCATCAGCGAGAGGGCTTGCTTTGGTTTATTCCTGCAACGCTGGAAGATTCTGGACTTTATGAATGTGATGTAAGGTAAGGAAGGGAGGAGGGAAACAAATGGGTTGCTAAGGCTTACAAGTGTGATAATAAATCTGTGGAACTTGAGTGTACAGAATTTTTTGGTTTAGGTAGAGAGCTTAGATCAGTTAAAAGCACTGTTTTGACCATGCTTTTTGTTTCTGCATGCTGCCTTTTTTTTCTTTTCTTCCACACATGTAGCATTGCAAAAGTGATTCATACAGAAGACTCTTTATCTTTAAGCATGACAATATTAACAATGGTCTGTGTGGGTTGTTTGTTTTGTTGTTTGTTTTGGATGAAGTGTAAGGTCACAGGGAGAAGTCTTAACTGCTTTAGCTTTTCCTGTGTTCAAATTGCTGTTTGATACTGACAGATCAGAAGAACATTTTGGTTTCTTCATTGGACATGGTTAAATGGAAGAAGGATCTAAGAGGAGCAAACTGCATGTTATGCAGTATCACCACATCCAGACTTTCTGGAGAGCTTAGCAACTTTTTGGGAATCCTTTTAGAAATTTACAAATTAAAAGGCAGAAAACCATTCTTATGTTGTATTTTAAAACATTACCAAACGTTACTGGTCAAAAATGAGAATGCATGTGAAGAGCAAAGCAATGTGCTAGACAGCTCTGGAGACAGTGAAAGTGATGCGTCCCCAGTACTGCTCAAAAGATCGGAGTGCACAGAGAAGAAGAAAAAAGGAATAGATTCTTTTCACCTTTTCAGTACTTTAAAGCTCTTGCCATATTTACAGCTCAGATTAGTGCACTGGACTTCACCGCTTCAGGTCGTCAAATCTTATTTATAATGGCTAAAATTCACTGTGTGCTGAACAGGAAATTAATTTTGGGAAGGCACACAGAAATTGTTCTTTTCCTCATGGTCTTGCCACAGCACACTGAGAACAGCCAATGCAGGCTTTTCGGGTGACCCAAAATTTGTTTTAGTAGTGTGCAGTTATGTGTACTGGTGTGCATGCAGTACACTAGTTATGGTGAAGGGGTTTGAGTTGTGAATGTAGTAACAGTGATCAGCAAAAACTTCCAGTTAGGCACAGGTCACAGGTCTTTGCACCTTCCTGCTCTAGAGGAAGCTAAATTGGAAGTCAGAAGAAATGTAATCCTTTCAAAGCTACCCAGTTAAATAATTTTAGTTGCATCTTTCTTGCTATGTTTCTAGGTACTCTAGCTATGAGATGTGTACCTGTGGGCACCTCACATCCCTGGTGCATAATGTCAGCAGGACAAAAAACTTGCGAAAGTTCAGTTATGTTAACTGTAGGCTACGTTTTGTGCATCAGTTACTTAAACCTTAATTACAGAGCTTGTCAAGGTGCAGTATATGGAAGTTGAAGCCAGGACTGTCAAAACATGCAGTTCACTCCTCTGGAAACTTCTCCCTTAGCATGGCATTGAGAAAAGAGTTGAGCAATGAATTAATAGAGAGTATTCCTTTACTTCTGGCATAGGCTTCTGGTTTCTAGTGCCATCTCTCCTCCGTAGAGCTACTGTACCACAGGTTCTTGTGAGCTCTCGGTGTGAAGTGGTTTCACATTGATATTGCACCTTGATGTATATGTTATTCAAGAGCTTTGTCTCTCTTCAGCTAAGAGTTACAGCCTGTTTTTCTTGATATGTGTCTCCAAGGAACGCTGAGATGAACCTGTCTTCTTCTCCTGTTCATTTGGCACTGAGGGTGTTCCAGTGCAGATATGTTTTGGGTTACCCTGCACTACTGTCTGTTGGCAAACGTAGTGCTGAAAATGGCAAGCTGTGGGCTCCGTAGAGCATCAGCTGTGAGAAGTCCTGGCTTCCCCTCTGGTGCTTCCAAAACTGACTCCACTTCTGCTCACAACACAAAATCAGAGCTTATTCCTCTATCTCAGTCTGGAACAGGGGGTGAGGAGCTGAGGGTGGTGTTTAAGAGCTACGGGGGCTGTAGCAGGGGTGTTAGAGGCAAGGCTGGTAGAGATGCTGCAGTCCCTCTCTGTAAGCTCCCTGACTTGCTGGAAACAAGGAACCTTATTGTTAATGACCTGACTTGTCTGCTGTTCTCATTACAGGAGCCTTAACCACTCTAACCAAAAAACTATAAATTTAAGAGTTTTTAAGAACGATAATGGTTTGTGTTTTAATGGAAAAATGAAGTATGAACAAAAAGTGATGAGCACAAATATTGGAAAGATTATATGCCCTGATCTAGAACATTTTAAAGATGAAGACAATAATCAGCCTGAAGTACACTGGTATAAGGTATTGTGCACATATATTTCAGATATACAAGATAGGAAATATTCTATTTAAAATGTGTTATGAAGTAATTGTGAAAAGCAGCTTTTGGAAGGGAATGTTTATTTTCTCTACAGTTTTGGTAAGGCGTCTATCATGCTACACTATTGGAGAGGCGTAAGGAGGTATGGGAGGCATATTTTAAAAAACCAATTGTCCATTTTTGGATTGCAAGTTTTTTCAGAGTCAAAAATGTGTTTTGGTTTGTTGATTTGTGAAAATATAGTTTATCCTTTGATTATTTTACGTAGATTAGATAACAAGCTTAAAAACTTATGTGTTTCCTTAAAACAGGCTCTGCATAATTATTTCAGTTTCGCAGAATATTAGGCTTATCCTATCTGTTGATCGTGGTGTGGTATTCTTATGCCTCTTGCTCTGATTCTGCCAAAATACTCTGTCGACTATGCAAGCTTAGAAACATGTATTTTGTCCGTGTTAAGGTAAAATTCTGAAGTAGTTCAACTCTTAATTCTGATGCTGGTGTTAAAGTAGCTACATGGGCCTGTACATGTAAAATAACCTTGGTGCTGCACCTATACATCTTCTTTTGAGATGAAGTGATTCTAAACTGCTTATAGGTCAGGGAAGAGAAGGAAGTTTTTCACTGTATTTGCATTGCCACAGAAATGGTAATACACCGAACAGCACATGGCACTGCTACAGTAGCTCTCATTCATCTCAGTGAAGCAGGGATGCAGGCATGTATTCTCATAAACTTTGCTACATGCATAATGACTTTTATTACACCTGAGATAGATAACTGAGATAGTCAAACCATTAAATGAAGGCACTGAATTAAAACACAGGATTTGAAAATCTAAAGATTGGCTGCAGTGATTTTTAAAAAGTGCAAATGCAGCAAGACATCATCAGGCTTCATGTTACAGCGTAGTGATGCTTGGATAAGAACCCACATTGGCTTTCAAAAAAATCAGTATTTAGCAAGTATTTTAATAATCAGTAGAGTTCAGTAACTTAATTATCAGATTATTAGTTCCCTTAAATCACAGGTACTTTTGATATATTTAGGAATGTAAGCCTGGTTTTCTTGAAGACAAGCGACTTCTTTTGGCAGAGGGTGAAAATGCTGTCTTGATTCACAACGTAACTGTACAAGACAGAGGAAACTACACATGCCGTATGGTATACACATATATGGGAAAACAATATAATGTTTCACGAACCATGAGTCTAGAGGTTAAAGGTGAGTGCATTGAGGTTATTCTCTTCTCTTTTTGGCTCTGCTGTAAATATTTGTATGCAGGCATAAGCTATTTGTCATGTTACTTTTCAGCTCTGTGAAATTAGAGTTTCAAATCTTCTTTAATTAATTTTTTTCTGAATGTTGAAATTAAATACAATAATGCATGTTTCTACCCTTGAGCATTGCTTCTGAGGAAGAATTGTCATGGGGAAATGAGAAATGCGGGGTTAGGAATGAGAATTAGAAGGAAGCAGTGATTACTGGGGTGGGGAGGTTGTTTTTGCTAAAACAAGTAATGCACCATTAAATTAATTAAACTTAAACAAAATTGAAAAAAAAAAAAAAAGAGGAATTTTTGCTGAGACTATCACAGCAAAACACCTGCTTGTGGTCCTGTTGGTGAACTTGCTTACAAAGTTCGCTAGAATGTCAGCTGGTGGGAAAGGAGACGTGACAAGCTGTATAAATACTATAAAGTTAATAAATCTTCCTCTGGAAAGGATTGGCTTACTCCTGGCACTTGGTTGTGCTTTTCTGCATCTAACAGAATGCAGAAACTGGCTGTCTCACTCTCCCAGTACTGTCATTTATTGCTGTGATCGTTGTGATTGTGTCTTTGAAGGCAATGTTGCTGATGACCTGACCAGTAACATGATAGTAGTCCTACCAGAAAAGCTGGCTGGAGGTAGAGTGTCCATCTTTTTAGATTAAATCAAAATTCTGACTTTAGATAGCTGATACAAGAACAGTGGGTTGTTAGCTGCGAGTCTATATATTGTGCAGAATGATACGATTCCAGCCCAGTTTGTGTGCTTGTTTACTCTTTTACTTAAAATAGATATTCACCTGATCTAGGAGGTCATTGATACAATCCCTCTTTCTCTTCTTTCCCTTCCTTCCATCTCTCTGACAAAGTTAATCGTGTTTTTTGGTTTTGTTTTTGTTTTCTGGTTTTGTATTACTTTTATATCAGCTGCCAGTAAATTTGAGATTTTTTTTTTTTAAAAGTATTTTTAAGGCAATCTAAAGCCTTTTGTTAACTTGGAAGCTAAAATAGAATAATTTGGATACAGTACAGCAAATCTCATGAGGTATTTTCTGTCGTAAATTTGAAACTGGTAGTAAGTGTGGAGCTACAATAGTACCAAACAATAAACCAAAACCATTGTAAAACTATCAGTTGAAGTAAGCTGTGGAACTCTTCCTGCCTGAAGATTTTTTTTTCTCTTTGTTTCTGTTAGAAGGACCACTGCAGGTGAGACCAGAGTTTATTTATCCGAAGAACAATACAATTGAAGTAGAACTTGGTAAGTAGTGACTATTTAAGAAGTCATTAACATTCAGTAAAACAAATAAGCTCCTGGTCTTTCTGAAATAACATGTGAACGGTTCCACTGACTTCAGCAAGACTGGGAGATAGGCACATGGATTGAGGATATCTGGAAGACAGATGATAGAACATGATTTCTGCAAGTAATTTGCAGAGGGAATAACTGTCTGCCTAAGATTGGAGTCTCTTGACCAGCAGTGTCGGGTGGGATGCATATTTTTTTTTTTTTTATTATTGCCATCTGTCCTTTGTACCACTTCTCAGTGTCTATGTCTTGACATATCCTCAGTATCTGTGGAAATGTGGTTACATATATGTCACATGTTAGGGTAGTTACCAGTTACATACTCCTCCTGTATGTTTTCTGTCTCCCCTCTCCACAACCTGAATTTTATTCCTCATTCTAGGGTATTAAAATGTTTCAGATACTGATCTTTTGTGAAACAGTGAGCTGCTAGTTGATGGACATCCCAGGTGTTGTTTATCTTAGAAATTTTTTAAACAGGAGATTCTGGATATAAGGAATAACTTTTTCCCAGTAAGGACAGCCAGGCAGTGTAGCAGACTCCCCAGATAAGTTGTGCAGTCTCGTCCTTGGAGGTTTCGGAACCTGACTGGATAAAGCTCTGAGCAGCCTGATCTGACCTCGGAGCTGGCCCTGCTTTGAGCAGGAGACTGGACTAGAGACCTCCCAAAGTCCCTTCCAACCTCAATTACTCTGTGATTCTATGGACCAAGTATATGGTATACAAGTCTTTTCCTAAGCAAACCTACACGTTTAGATTGCACCATATATCGGACAGACTTGTGTTCTACTAATGTAGCCCAGAAGAATGAGTTTTGGAGCTGCTTGAACTGTAATTTTTTTTCTTGTTTTGCACCAAGGAGAACTGTTTCAAACGAAGTATTTGATTAAAAAGGGCATTAACTGATTTTGGAGAGGTGTGATTGGCTATTTACTAGAATTTCCTAGTACAGGGTCTAAGCTGTCTTGTAATCTTTCGGGGAAGGATTGTTACCGATTAGGTCATTAGAGAAGCTCGGAGGAAAGGTTGCATTGGGGCTCTGGCACCATACAGGAGCTGAGGCCAGAGCATTGTGGATTATTATTATGTATGTCGCATTGATAGTAGTCTGCTACTTTTGCTGCTGCTTTTTCTGACATTGAGCTTGTAAATACTGTGTATATCAGGTGTTCTTTTCTCATGTTGAGGCTTCAAGATTATTTTCACTTTATGTGAAATATTTTGTCTGGCCCAAATTCTAACTTTGAGTATATGGTATTAAACGAAAATGAACGGTACTGAAATACTGGTGGGTTTTGTGGTTTGTTTGTTTGTTTGGGGTTTTTTTGTTGCAGTTGTTTTGGGTTTTTGGTTTTGGTTGTTTTTTTTTTTTTCCTTTTCTTTTTGACCTCAACAACTTGTGAAAGATACCTCATTCTGAAGTTGCCAGGTTCTGGTGAGGATCAGTAGATTTTGACCAGAATAATGAATGAGCTTTAATAGAAATTATGTTCCTCCAAAGTCCAGAAGGCTTTGTTTTAAGCAGTGGGAATATTCAGGATCTGGTACAAACAGTATTATTTTATAGACTTACAGTCCTGCAGTCTTCAGATGGTTATTTAATTCTGTTGGAAATATTCAGAAATGCCTCAGCAGCCTCTTCTTTTCTGGTAATTACATCTTCTCTGGCTTCATTACAATTACATGCCTGAAAAGCTTTATTTGTGCTCTTCCACTAATAAGGAAATTTGTTCACCAGATCTTAGACTGAAATAGGGAGACTTGCCACAGTCTGTTTTTTACTTCACACAACCCTAATCTTTATGGGTGAAAACTTTCCTCTTCCTTTGTTACTGTAACTGTGGAAGAAATGAAGTGATGTTACGGTGGGGCTTCCCTGTACTGCATCTCCCACCCATTAAAATATCATGTAAATCTCATCCCCAGTTCTGACTGGTGATTAGATATGACTTTCCATGTAATTCAGAAAAATTCTTACCAATGCAACCTCTACTCAGAAAGAGTCTGATTTGCATAGGCCCTTAAAAGGCTCTTTAATTTACTGAAGACATCCTTAGGATTTTCTTAATCCTTGATAATACTTGCTGAGAAAATGGACAATAGAGCAGTTATTAGTTCAGGGGCTGCCTGTAACTCTCAGCCTATATTAAGATGTGTTATGTGACAATTTGTTTAGACTCCTTATTTTAGAATAGCATTTGGTCCGTATTTGTTATGGCTTGGACACTGCATTAATTAAAAGTTGCTGATATATTACTGGATGCCTTAGGCCAGCTAAGATGAACAAACCCAGCTTTGATTGCCTTACAGACATTAGGAAAGCAGTCACACATGAGACTAAAAGGAGACACAAAGCCTTCACCCACAAAGTGGGTTTATCGTGGCTACTGAACAACTACAAACGACTCCCTACTACAGGGGGGCCTTTTGAAGGGAGTTGGTGAAGCTTTTTGGTGTGTAGTTGTTTGGGTTTTTTTGTTTGTTTGTTTGTTTGTTTGTTTGTTTTAAAAAGGCACTGCTATTCTGTATTGGGTTTGTGTGGCAAGGTTTTGGTACCAGGCGAGGCTACAGGGCTTCTGTGAGAAGTTGCTATAAGCTTCCCCCACGTCCGACACAGCCAATGCCAGCCGGCTCCAAGACGGACCCGCTGCTGGCCAAGGCTGAGCCCATCAGTGACGGTGATAGCGCCTCTGGGATAACGTATTTAAGGGGGAAAAGTGGCTGTGTGACAGCAATTGCAGACGAAGAGAGGAGTGAGAATATGTGAGAGA